TTTTTTCAACAAAGGACATTTGGATTAAAAAAATTTACCCACAATTGTAAGAATTAATTAAAAAAGATAAATTAAACATTCAAAAAAATAAAATGCAATTAAAAATTTAAAAATATATAAAAAACTTAAAGTATTATATAAAAATAAATTAAGCTATTTATTTATTTATCAATTTTTTTTAAAAAATGATTCTAACTATAACTCATTAGCTATTTAGTTCCTTGATTTTTAGTCAATTTGGAATTGTGGCGATATTAAAGCTTTCTAATCGGAAAGTTGAAAACACAAAACTTATCTTTCACATAAGGCATTGATTTTTCAAGAAATATATCGTCCCAAACTCCTTTTTATGGAGGCATTGATTTTCATCCAATTTACCATTAATTCTTGACCTTTGATCATACGTATGCTAGACACGTGTCATCTTTTTGTGGCATATTGTGAAGAGGAACCCACTCGGAAATTTCTTATGTTCTAAGAAATTTTGTGAAGTATAGGGACCAACTAATTGGGAAATGGCATAATCCATTGCTAGTAAGACTCTTTGAGGCAAAATTATTGCAAAGGGTCTGGACCCCAACCGACCCATGGGAATGTTATGGTATGACGCATGTGCTTCCACTTTGGTAGAGTTTATGGGCTCTGACTCTAATCCCACAACAAGGCTCTGAACTTGTGATGATCCCATTAAACCATGGCGGGTTGATTCCTCTTCCACTCTAGTGGGGCAGTAGGGAGGAGAATGGCCCAGCCCTTTTCCTCCTCTTTACAAATCTTTCTGCTCTCTGACGCCATCCGCACCTAGATACTTGCTTACTTAGGGTCTTTTTTCCCCTCTATATATAGTAGGGAAATACTCGGTACTAGTTTGTTAGTCGTTGAAGATCATATTTCACAAAATGTCCTAATCTCTCAGTTTTTTATACCCATTGCTCACCCACAAATGGCTTGCGCAATCATAACCTTATGTAGGTAAGTTTGTTAATTGTCTTGTCTTTATATATATATATTTTTTAGTGGATTTATTTTTTCGAGTAGATTATAAATTAGTACCTCTAGTTTTATAAAAAAAAAAATTAAATAATTCTTCTTGTTTTAAAAATTAATTATTTAATATCTTTATCAGTATTTTTCATGATTAATTTAATATTATTTTGTTTTAAAAAATATCTTCTTTTTTCCTCAATCTTTCCATACTTTTTACTTTATTTTTCTATTAATTAAATGAAAAAAAAAGAATGGAAATGAATAAAAAAGATTAATTTACAAATAGATTTAAAAATATAGGGACTAATTATTTAGTTATTAAAACTAGATGAACTATTTAATTCTTTTTGAAAAACTAGAGGGACTGATTTATAATTTACTCGTTATTTTTCGTGCTCCATCTATACATTGCAGATATTAAAAAAATAAATAAATAAAAACCTAAAATAACTTAGATTTTTACTGTTTAAATACTTTTCATTTAGTTTGGTTATAGACCTAGAATAACTATTTATTGTGACTCAATTACACTATCTGAAACTTCTTTTTCTATTTGGGTTGTCCATCATTGACATGTCCCTCTCATACTGTTGGATATGTCATGTTGCTGCCTTTTAATTTATTTTTTTGTCTTCCCACAGATGAGTGGTTGCTTGACTTTCATTCTCTAGCTTTTTGTTAATTTCTCTTTTGTCATTTAGTTGATTTAATAAATTTCATACTTGCTCTTGATTGATTTTTCTTTTAATTTTCTTTTCGAGCAATTTTCCGTCATTTTTTTTCGTTTAAGATAGAGCATTTAATGCTCCTATCTTTAATTTGTTTTTTTTACCTTCTTATTTTCGTAGATGAGCCATTGCTATTCAAGAATAAATTATAAATTTGTATCTCTATTAGAAAAACAAATTAATTAGTCCATCTAGTTCAAAAATTATTTTTTTTCTTTTTTGATATTTTTCAATTTAGTTTGATTTTTTTTAAAAAAATAGAATATATATATATATATATATATGAAAAGAAGAAATTTTAAAAAATAAAAAAATAAATTAATTGTGGTCAACACTAATTAAAAAGATTAAATAATTAATTTTTGAAACCAAAATTACTAATTAATTCATTTCTCGATACTAGATGGATTAATTTATAATTTACTTTGCAATTTGTGGATTTCTTTCATTATTTTTTTAGGTGATTTTTTTAATCATGAATACCATACTGGTTGCTTATATAAAAAAATGCATTAAAAAAATACATTGGGTATAAAAAACTAGATGCACCCTATACATGGCCTTAGTAGATCATGTCTATAAATAATAATTAATTTCAAAAGTGACTACACAAAACTAAAATAGCTAGTGCAATCGTTGGCTTATTAAAGATCCATGCAAAATGATTCTATGAATATAATATAGTGGTTGGATTTTGGTGTCCAAAGTTGTAAAGTGGAGAAAATTTTATGATTTTCTTCTAAAAAATTGCTTATTTGATAGGTGAATTTGTTTTTGAAAAGATTTTTTTTCTACATTAAATAGCAAGTCAAATCTGTATACAATTGTATTAATTTTGTGTGTTTTCTTTTATTTGCACTATGTTCAATTCACTTGACCAAATGTTTGAACAATAAAAGTATAATAAAATTGCTATTATATTATTTATGAATAATTAAATATCAAAATTAATTTAATAATTTTTTAATTATAAATTGATAGTATATATATAAAAAAATTAATATTTACTTTTTTTAAAATGAATATTTTGAAATCAATTCTCCTTAAATAAAACAATAAAAATTATATTTTAAAAACAACACCTAGCTTTACCATATTTTTTAAATTGAGTTTTTTATGCTTATATTATTTATTATTTTGAGATGTGTGTGTGTATGAGTGTATAAACCTAATATAATACTTTTAAAAATTAATCTTCTCATCAATGTCATAAAAAAATTATTTTAAATCTTAAAATTTTTATGTAATTTTTTATAAAAAAAATTAATCGTTGCTTTATTTGCTCTATACAATCTTATAAAATCAGTAATTAAATTTATGCATTTTTTTAGGATTTTTGATAAATTGAAACTTGCAATTTAGATTATTGTAGATTTTTATTTAAAAATCCATGCATGATAAAAAAATATTTTAAAAAGGAAATCTTTAAAAAAAATAAGAAAAAATTAATTAAATATAAAATTTTGATTAAAAAAAAATTATAAAGTTAAGTGAATAATTTTTTAGCTTTACAGATCCATCGCGTGACAAAAACTATCAAGTCATAATAATTTTTTTTCAAATAATTTTACTTATTGTGCTCCATTCACAGCATAGCGCAGATATCCATCTACTATTGCCTATTATTGCCTATATTTTGTTTGCTTTTCACTCCAAACCTAGCACAAGACACGAAGCTTCTTTGAAATGTGCATGTATGGATCAGTCCCATGAAATGACTAGGATACTTCGCAGCTCTTACTTGGCATTTTCTTTGTGGGGGCAGATATAAGTGTCATACTCATCAGAATAATAATGGTTCTTGCCCGTTTGGCTGAAGTTTGCCATTATAAAAACAAAAAAGAAAAAAACCTAACCTTTTCATTTATAAAGATTTTTTTTTTTATAAAAAAAATGACGTTCTGCTCTTGTAGATTGAGGTATACACAAGTTCAAGAACGAATTACTATGTCTAACATTTGTGAACTTTATTTCGAATGACAATTATTTGAAATGGTAAACTAGCCAAAAACATAATGACTAGCCATCCAAAGATTTATCAGCTCACGGCAATGTGTCTGGCTGAACATCCATGATTCCAAGCCCCTTTATGCATATTGTTATGGCAAAACCTGTGAACTGACTTAGAATTTTCTTTGTAATCAATTATTGTAGTTTTATATTTATTGGAAGGTTCACTCAAACTTCTCCACGAAAATAAGATATTGGCCCTTTACCATTTTCTAATCAACTCTTTTCTCCTAATCCAAAAATACTTTGCATCTGATTAAGACATATAAGTTGAAATTTTCAAATTTAACAAGTAATAGTAGTAGTACGTACTATTTGCCCATCTGTTTGAAGAGTACTGACTGACTATTTCTTTATAATTTTAAATCATGGTGTAATATCTATGTTTAGATAAATATTCCTACCTTAGAAGATTCAAAAACAATATGATTTTGTTTCTTACTATTGATATTTCTTGTTCTTCCTCCAAGACCACTTGCCCCCAATAAACAAAAATTAATATTTTGTTATTCGGTTTTGAGAATCTCCTTTACTCCGAGAACATGATGGCTTTGCTTTCAATCCACGTCTACTCCCTATATTTTGTTCTCCTCGATCTGCATTACTTCAACATTTTAGACTCATTAAAAATCAGAGCACATGAGCCATTAGATTAATTAGCAGGACCTACTATTGGATCCCAGAATAATATCATGATCTAAATACTCAAAATCTTTTTGAAGTTTTTTCATTTCGTTTTGAAAAAATGATTCCACAAAAAACTAGTTAAAAATAATGGAAAATGTGAAAAAAAAAAAAAAAAAACTCACGAAAGGAAAAGGAATCAAGTCAACCACATGAGAGTACATAAACAGCTGGTAAGCTTGACGCCGTGTCAAATCAGGTGTCGAGCATAGACCTTTCCATCTTCAAAGCTTTTTCTCAGCAGTTTCCATAAGAAAAGGACCCGTAATCCATAATAAAACCTCTACCCTACGTTATTCCTTCCCGTCAGCTCAATGTCATCATCTATTTGATACTCTTTACTCTTTTCCATGTTCACCATAAATATACCCTCACGTTTCGTCTTATGATCCCTCATTACGTAGCCACAATTTCCCTCATCCTGCCTGACTCTGTTTTTTTGTAAAGGCTACCTCATATTTTACCATCTTTATCTGTAAGTATGTAAGCTAAAATCACTCAAATGTAGCAACTTTCCTTATCAACTATAGTGGTTGTTTTTTGTTTCTGATATTTATTTTGTGCTAACTGGAATAGGAGCCAGAACATAATATGATTAAAGAAATGGTGCACGGATTACGTGAGATGTTGATGCTTTTGGTCTTGGCAATTTTCTCTAAGGCAACTGGGGTTAAGGCTTATTCGCGAGGCGGCACGATACCAGAAGGTGCTTCCTATTGCCTGAGCTGGAGGTTGGCTGTGGAGGCTAACAATGTGCGTGCCTGGCGCACGGTCCCTCCTCAATGCTTGCGGTACGTTGAAGCTTACATGCTTGGAGGACAGTATGACAAGGACATTGACTTGGTTGTTGACCAAATTTTGAGATACATGAATGAGACAGTTCCCTCCAGTGATGGCATGGATGCATGGATCCTAGATGTTGACGACACCTGCATCTCTAATGTCTTTTACTACAGGGGAAAGAGATATGGGTATGTCAGCATGGCCCTATATATGCTTCGTTATTTGGTATATGTATGCTTATTAATCAATGGTGTTTGTGTCTTGTCCTGTAGGTGTGATCCATACGATCCAGCTGGTTTCAGGGCATGGGCATTAAAGGGAGGATGTCAAGCAATTCCTGCTGTTCTTGGATTGTTTAACTACCTAGTTCAAAATGGTTATAAGGTATTCCTTGTCACCGGCAGGGACCAAGAAACCCTTGGCCAAGCCACTATTGATAATCTGCATAATCAGGGCTTCATCGGCTACGAGAGACTAATCTTGAGGTGAGATATACGGTATAGCCAAAAATTCCTCCAGGTCTGAAAAATCTACATGAGAAATATATTTTCAATGAGGCAGATGATTAACCTGAGTGGATAATTTTCTCTGGACTTGAAATTATCAAATAACGTATATTCTATTTCAAAATGATTGATAGAACAGAAATCACAAGGAAGGATACCTGATAGTGATTTGAGAACATAACATATCAGGCCTTTTTTCCATATTTGCCTTCAATGATTAGGTCTTTTGAAATATCGTTGATCATGACTATGAAGACTGCTTGGTTGTTATTATTTGTAGTGTTGACTTTGCTTTGCAGTTGATATGTTGAAGTTAATATCATACCAACTAACTTTGCATATTTTCGGATGCCATTCGAGTCAACATCAATACAAGAAAGCACTTCTGTTCCATCAGAATCGTAATAGGCTAGCTAGGCAAACCCTTGGCTCAATCTTCTATCAAGAAGACAAGAACCCTTAAAAGCCTAACCAACTTGGAAAAGGAAACTAGGCCCACCACCTAATACAAAATTGCCTTTTTCAACGGAAGTTGTGTGGATTGCCAGCTTTGGATGTTAAAATTCCATGTAGGCAGGACTGAATGGGCAACTGTGTGTATGCATGATTGAATGTCAGTATAAAACAGAGTTATTACTGCTTAAATGGCTTCTGATACACCAAGATTTGTAATCTTTTTGTTGTCTCAATCTCCAACAGGACAGCAGAATTCAAAGGACAAGGCGCGGTGGCATTCAAGTCAGAAATAAGAAAGCGATTAGAAAAGGAAGGTTACAGAATATGGGGGAATGTCGGTGACCAATGGAGTGATCTACAGGGGGAATGTTTGGGGAACCGAACTTTTAAGCTACCAAATCCAATGTATTTTGTTCCCTGAAATTCAGTGGAATTCTAGTGGTTATGTTGTCTCTGGAAATGATCACAAGAAGGGACTCGTAACGTTATTACTATTATGTTGCCAACGAAACGAAAACATAATCAAGTCAAATAAATGGCACGAGAGTTTAGCAGATGAACTTATTCTTTTTAGCCTTCGAGCAGTATTTGAACAAAGAATAGTATTCCATAAATGATCATACCAAAAAACGTAATCACGAGACTATGAATCATATTTTCAGATAACTACAGGAAGAATGCAAAGAAAAAAAAAAGCCAAAATCGAAACCCGAGCAAGTAAGCCTAAAACCACAAATATAAGGTAAAACAAACATCAAATGCATGTAGCATGGATTTTGGAAGTAAATGAAGTTTACCTGTCGAAACCAATTTCGAGCTCTTCTGCTGCCTCCTTGGTGTTCAACAAATGGAGAGACAGAGCGAAAGAATTCCATTATAAACCAGATTTTGATTAGAAAAGGTGAAAGAGGAAGGGACAGCTGCAGCAAACAGTGATCATCTGAAAGAGTAGTTGAAAATTTCTCGAATGGATAGGCTCTCAGTGGCATTTCGTCGAACATAAAAAGGATGTATTCGATAAAACGCCGTCGTTTTTGTAATATCACAAGTAAAACGTTGACGTTTTGTGTATGCCAGTTTTTGGCGCAAAATACTGGTAGCACGTATTACCGTTACGACATTCGCTAAAGAAGGAAAATTTTGGATTTATTCAACGAAATTTCGCAGAAAAAACGGAAGTTTATTTGAGGGAACCCTCTTTTTTCCCTTTTCTCATACAAATTAATTATTAATCTTGTGCAGCATTTGGCCAGATATCTGAATCTCATTGAATTTCACACAAGAACAAAAGGAAAAGATGAACGATGCAGATGTGTCAAAGCAGATCCAGCAAATGGCCAGATTCATCCGTCAGGAGGCGGAGGAGAAGGCCAACGAGATCTCTGTCTCCGCCGAGGAGGTTTTTCATCAATTAATATTAAACTTATTGATTCATGCAATGTTGTTTTTTACATGATCTTACCTTTTATTTCAAAATCTATCTTGTCAGGAATTTAACATTGAGAAATTGCAATTCCTAGAAGCCGAAAGGAAAAAAATCAGACAAGAATTCGAACGCAAGACTAAACAAATGGATATCCGTAAGAAAATGTCTGTTCTATTACTCATCAGTTTCAATTTCAATTTTTATTTTTTCATTCAATAAATAATATTTATGTACCTTTGTATCAGAAATCTTGAAATGCTGTCTGATCTTTCTTGTGCAGCGAGTACTCCATGCAGCTGAATGCGTCACGGATAAAAGTTCTTCAAGCACAAGATGATATTGTGAATTCCATAAAAGAATCAGCTAGTAAGCAACTTCTGCGTTTTTCGAACAACAAGAAGGAATATAGGAAGCTCCTCAAAAATTTGATTGTTCAGGTAATTCAATGAGTCCTCCGATCTCTTACGAGGAACAATATTAAATCTTAATCTATATTGATGATTCTTGCCCTTTGATATCTCACGTTGCTGTCTGGTGACTGGATACTTTTGTTCAACGTAATCTGTAGAGTTTAACACGACTGAAGGAGCCAGCAGTTTTGCTTCGATGCCGAGAGGTTGATCGTAAAATTGTTGAGTCTGTTCTGGACGACGCAAGACGCGCATACGCAGAGAAAGCCCAAGTACATGCTCCCAATATAACCATTGATAATGCTGTATACCTTCCACCGCCTCTGAAATCCTCAGACTCCCTTGATCCTTACTGGTAATCATTTCTGACTTTCGATGCAAAAGTTTTTCCAGCTGCGTGATAGTTGTTTTCTTTTTTAACATGAATCAAGGTCATGCTGCTTACATTTTGCTTACACCTCCTTTGTCAATTTTCTAAAGTTCCGGCGGGGTGGTAATGGCATCACAAGATGGGAAGATAGTTTGCGAGAACACTTTGGATGCAAGATTGGATGTTGCTTTCAGAAAGAAACTGCCAGAGGTGTGTTGTTCATTTATCAACTGAGTGACTAATTCATGAAATGGAGGTTAATTAAATGAGAAGAAGAGAGTTAGTATAACCTATTCCTCAGGACTAAAAATTGTAGAGATCATCCTGTCATGCTTGCGTTTTGTAAAATTAAGTGCCGCACTGCATGTAGCAGATTATTCAAAATTCAGTTAATGTTTGAATGCATTATTTCTCTTCTTAACAATTACGCATTTGATCTTGATGCATGTTGAAACAAGTTTAGGTATGACAATGGAATTACAAGAATATTAAGATATAAGAAAAACCTGATAAGCTATTTGTAACTTCCCTTCACAATTTTCACCTGGCTTGTTGCTTGTGATATCACTTCTACCAGAATAGTTTCAGAACGACTATATTGGAAGTAAAATTTAGTGGATTCTGTTTCTAGTATTGGAACTGACGATCTAAGGCTAATTTCAACATTTTGTTCTGCGCAGATCCGAAACCAGCTTCTTGGAAAAGTAGGTGCATGATGAATCTGATTTGAATATTTTCTGGGATACCAAAGCAGCAAGCTCTTCTTTGTAGAAGTTAAGCATTGCAGATATGGACATTCTGCTTCCTTGATTCAAAGTTCAGGAAACTTTTCAACTTTCATTTCTGTCAATTTTCTCCCTTCGAGATACGGCATCACATTGTCATTTATTTTCTAATTATTTAGATTTGCCAAAAGAGTGATTGGTAGTATCTCTGTTTTATTTCAAACGTTGAGATGCCATTCAATAATGTGCTTCATTTGGTTCGATGGCTTTGTTTGCATGTAATAGTTTTAAGACAAAAATTTGCATTGCAAAACCTGTTGCTGACAGGGTCACTCCAATGCATAATTGCACCAAACCAATTCATATCATGAAAATGTGATCTCAATTTCAGGGCAAAGCTGGCCCTGATCCTTGATGCTCTGATGCATAATATCAGTTCGTGATATCGAGCTGTGCAAATGACATACCATAAGGAATAGAATTTTATATTTTCTCCAAAATTGTGAATTCATATACTTTCAGAATCATTGTGATTCCTTCAAATACAGACTGTAACTAAACGCAAAGCTAGGACACAGAATGCCTACGACTCCTGCCAGTTTTCCCCTCTGATCCGCGAGGCTTTCTACCAGATTTTTGTCGTCTCCCTCCTCCTGGGCCACTAAAAATCGCTATCCTTCCAATTCCTTTTGATAGTGAGGTGAAGAAAGTTCTCCCATTTCCTGACTTATCAATCATCCCTTGTTTCATGTGCCTCTGCTCCTTCTCCAACTCGCTCAGCCTCACCCTCATTCTTGATATCTCAAGCTTAAGTTCCCGGTTTTCCCTCCGCAAAGAAGCATAATTATCTCGAGGCGACATTGCTGCACTGGGTACACCACTGCTGATTCTCTGTGATAGGAATCCGTCTCCTGAGCTTCCAGACAAGGCATTCTTCAAACGAAGCTGCTCAAAATAGAGAACTTGAACTGTCATCTGCACTGGGAGACGATCGTTCTGTGCAGCATGATTGCACGCTTCTTGTGAAAGCTTTTGGCAGTCTGTCAACTTGCAGAGCTTCTTACACTCATGTTCAGATAGCATTGGATGAGCCTGGATAGCGAAATCAAGAACATGGGTGATTTACAACTAACAGACAGAGAGCAAGTGAAGCATCCTCCTCACCCAACCCCCACAACACAAAGGAAAGCACTTCTTCTGGCTGAGATGTCATTTGAGATATGAAGATGAAACCAAATATATTTAAAGCTAACCATAACTAACAAGACTAATAAAATGAGGCCATCTTGATTGAAGTCCTAAAGAAGCCTTAACCAAGATGAATTTCAACGAATTAAGTGCAAATATATGCCAAAAAAATAGGGAACAGATCTGAATAATTAACATTAAACTATGTCTGAATGCTCAGACAGTAGATGTTGGCATGATTAAGAAGGGCATGAGGTGGGTGTTAAAGAAAAGCTGTAGCTTTGGATCACTGAAACTGAAAAAAATACCTTCAAATATATGTCAATTGCTCGATAAAGCCCATCATCAATCACTCGAGCATAATCAGGAAGTATCTCAATCATGGCAATGAATTTCTGCAAACTCAAATATGGATCAGGAGCAATTTCTGCTAGATATGAATCAATAAGCCTTCCAACTTTCAATAACGAATCATGGCCTGGAGATCCGATGCCTTCAGATTCATATCCACAATCTTCATTTTCTTCTTCTTCAACACGCTGTAGAAAATTCACTAGTATCCGGTGGACAGTATCAACATCAAATAATGAATCCCCAATCCGGACAGATGGTATAAGAAGATCGTCTAGCGAAACCATTTCCAACCGAAAAGCAATTCTCCTCTCAAGCTCAAGTCTACATGCAATAGCAGCATCCAACATAATTGCCATCCTTAACATCCCGAACAGAAAATTCAACGGAATGGAAGAGCTCTTATCTGTTGGCATTAGACTCACAAGAGTTTCCACAATAATGCTCTGATCATTTTCCTTCACACTAGGACTTGGTTTCATCCTTGCTGGATTCCAAATCTGACATTTTCCAATGCCCTTTAATGATGTCTGGGCATAATGCATTATAGAGGCAACAATGCTATCTGGCCGAACTCCTACCCTTCCCATGGCACAGATAACTCTTTGGTAATAATTAATCCCCAATACTGAGAGATCCTCAACCCACCACTCTAGACAGCCACTCTTAAGTTCTGTGGATTCACTATCGCAATCTAAACGAGACAAACCTGAGACCAACTGCTCCTTGCAAGCATTGATGGCAATGGCCTCTATACATTTGTTTGGAATTCCCACCTCCTCTGCTACGGGAGGTAGCATCTCACATGTAAAAAGGACTTCTACAGACTTTTCAAGACTTTGAACCACAATCTCATTCAGATAAGTCTCCGCGCGTGCAATGAGGTTTTCTTCCCGATAGTCTTCAGTCATTTCCAGGTATTCTGCAGCGCAGCGCAGATGGGCGACATTTGCAGTTGTGATCTCAAAGTTCATACCGTAACAGAATTTCATGGAAAGTTCAAATGTATGAGGCCCGCCAGGAAAGCTGCAGAGCTTCAATTTCGAAATATTTGAGTCCTTTGCATCTGCAACCATTTTCCGTATCTTTCCACTTCGAGACACAAGGGGAAACTGCGGTAAGCAAGAAAAACTTAATTCAGTAAACAAAGTAAAAATTAACAGCATTTCAATGGAGAACACAAATGTTTAGGGGAAAGACCTTACCTTATGCAGTAGAAAAGACTCACCATCCACAACAATTGTTATGTCTCCCGCAACGTCCGAAAATATGCTGTATGGGAGTAAAAACATCTGATTATGGCCTTTTCTTTCCAATTGAGAAAGTAAAAACACTCACAGAAAGATCAAGGATATATATATCTAACACAAGGCCAAATCTTAAGTATGACATTCAAGAATTCAAATTATTGACATTGCTAACCCCTAATGAAATTCAAGCAATACAAAATAATTTGAGATTTGAGATTCTTTTCTCTATTTTTTAAACTGGTTCATACCATAAAACTATTCTAAATAATCAAGTGAAGATATATCACATTCTCAATTAGGAGTTAGGACAGTACCGTTTTGAATAAAAATTAGTCCACCAATCAAACAAAACAAGGAAAAAAGGAATCTTTGCTAAATTATAAATAATTGATTAAGTCAATAACCGAAAAAAAAAATTACTCTTCCTTTAGAATAATTAATACCTACTGTAGAGCTAATTAATAACAAAGATCAACACTAACAAAAATACACAAACAAGGCAAGATACAGATCTTCATATTATAATCCAAGCCTGAGCATAAACATACACATAGGACAAAACAGATCTTTATATTATAATCCAAGAAACTTAACACCCAGCAAATGAAAAACCATCTAACATTAAACAAAACCCTCAAAAAGAAAACTAGCAAACAGTAGAGACAGTACTTTTTCCTTTAGATAATGAGACACAAGAACATTTTGCAAGAGCCCAGATAACCATATGATATCTGAAAAACACGCATGCATATTCACATAAAAATGTTTGAAATTTGTGCGTAAAGAGATTGAGATAAATAAAAAGATGGGTTTATTACCGAGTAGTGAAGGAGTTGCAGAACTTAGTAGTAGGTGATCTCTTAGAAGAAGAAAGAAGGTTCTCAGACACCATTTTCTTTTCTTTTCTTTTCTTTTCTTCCAGAGAAAACAATCTTAAAACAGTCTTTGAACTGATAGACAAGAGATGATGGAGGGAATATGAAAAATATCTTTTAGTTTACTTAAATAGCCTTACCATCCCTGCTTATTTACCAGGAAAAGTTGTCTTTATCTTTGTGTTTCGTTATCGTTTATTGTGTTCTTGTTGTGCCTGTGAAGCAAGTTACTGTCAGTACTGTTACGTTCAGAGTTTAGTTCAGAACCTATCAGAGCTGATGACAATATTGCTCAGGCGACAAAGATTTCGGTATCATTGGACTTTACAGGACACTAACATGCTCCTAAGTTGTTTATTTCGTATACGGTTTGGAAGATTCAATACTAAGATTATGTAGTCAATTAAATGACTATATGACGTTTGATAATAAGTACTGCAAATTTTTTTTTAAAAAAAAGTGTGTTTGGAAAAGCTAGTCCATATTGGCTGGTGGCAGTTTCGTTAATTTCATGAAGTCCATGACCATGTCTACATAAGGCAAAAGAAAACGTTATTAGGGAGGGGGAAAAAAGAGAGAAAGAAAGGAAAAAAAGCAGCAAAGTGCGTGAAGAATGTGAAGAAGGCGTGGAGTGATTCGACAGATGTTTTGCACGGAACTCAATAAAGAGGCAATTATTAGAGAGAAGTAGTCTTCTCCAAGCACAGAAGCACACAATTCCATTTCTTTTTCTCTTGGCTTTTATTGATAATTGAATTGAATAAATAATCTGAATCCCAAGATATTCCCCTTGCTTGCTTTGTTCGATCTTTCTTCTTGAACTGGTTTGACCCATAACAGCCATAAAGAGATAGGATGTGCTGAATTCCTGTCTTATCCTAATCTACATTTGTAATCCCAATGGTGACCACAATCCACACTACGTTTTCCTTTTGTCGGCTGTGTTGGGACCTTCACGAGAGATCTTGTTCTTATGGGAAAATGACCTCGCATGCCGATGCCCCCATTGGCATCTTATATATATATATTAGAAAATTGCCATTGCAAATGGTAATCACTGTTACAACTACTGGTTCTATATATTCAACTCAAGACAAATTATATTTTCTTGTATTTTTTTTTCTTTTCAAATCATTATTATGACAATGGGCCAGTTGTTTTTTGGGCGTATAACATAATGTTCTCTCTTGGTAGAAAGAAGTCCATAGTATTTTGTTAACATATTTACGTTTCTAAACTGTTCATTCATTAAAAAAGAAAAACAAAGGTGAATAAATTCAATTTGTTCTTTTATAATAGTGAGTCTTCAACTTGTTTTTATATTTTTAATTATATTTATTATGTTTTCTGAGTGATGCTTAAATTTTTGATGTCTTTTCAATTAAATTTTTTTACAATATTCACGAGTTTTGACTAAAGTAGCCCTGCGTAAAATATATATAAAAAAAATCTAGTAACATGATCTCGTGCGTTTTTTTTAAATCATTAATTTTTTTATATTTCAATTAGAAGCATTTCGCTTAAAAAGTTTATTTATAGTTGAAAAAATTGATCAAAAAAACATATTGAAGATTTAAATATTATGAAAAATATAATAAATATAATTAAAAATGAAAAAACACATTGAAGATTCAAGTTATTATATAAAAATATATTGAGTTATTTACCCAAAAAATAAATAAACAAATAAACTTTTTTTTTCCTTGTAGTTTTTTGTAGAATTTGAACCTTGTACAATCAGGTGGGAAATAAACTCACTTAAAAATCATAATAAGTTTAAAATAGTGAAAAATTATGTAAATCAAAACCCTCCATTTATTGATAAAACATGTGTTATTCTTGGACATGTATTAGAAAAGTTCTATAATTATAGTGATTGTCTGGGTAATTATAAATTATATCTCATTTGTATATCAAATTACAAATCAGTCCCACAATTAAAGAGTTTTGTAGATTTTAGATCCATATTTCATAGCATCAACACATTAATCTCCCAATTAAAATTTTTAAGAGACAATCCTTTTACCAAAACACAATGAAGAATGTGGACGGGACCACTTGAATCTATCAAGTTATATATATATATAATTAAAGAAGTGAAGGCGAAACAATTCATTCACTCGTAGCTCTAGACTCATTGTTCTTATTTATGCATTTTTTCTTTCTTTCTTGATTCTTCTTTCTTTGAGAGATAAATTAATTAGTCCCTTTGCTTTTCTTTTTTCTTTTTTTTTAAAGGGTTGGGTTGTCATTTCTGGCCGGCTTTTTTTTTTTTTTTTTTTACTTCTTTTAAAGAGCTCTACTGTTAATAGGGCTTGAAGCTCGATAAATTGGAGCGAGAAAACAATCCAAATACAGACCTTAGTAGCGCATCTTGCATGCACTTGATAAGACCACAAAGCTCGAGGCTCAAACACAAAAAGATTCTCGGATATTAAGAAATTTTTATCGTAGTTTCTTTTGCTATCAAGGAAGCATTTGACATGTAAATTCTTAGATTATTATTATTATAATTATTATAAAGAAAACTAAAAGAACTGGGGAATTTAAACGAGTGTTATTGTTCATTTACTATACCCCAATTCTTTTGGTTTGATTCTTTTTTTGTTTTTCCTTGGGTTGAAAGGCGAGTTGGCGCCGACCTTTTTTCATTTTTTTTCTTTTTTCTTAACACTCACGCACATATATAAATTATCATGAAATTGGGTGTAAAAAATATAAAAAATAAATCATTATTTTTTTTAGTTTTACGTACAAGTTTGAAGATGATAGAATATATATGATATTTATAAAAATTTTCTTTTGAACATATATATCCGATTATATTACTCTTATTGTTTAAAATTTATTGCTTTAATTATTTGTTTCTTATTAAAATTCTCATCAAAATTAATTTTTTTTATATAATTTTATTTGTTAATAAATTTGGTTTTTAAATATATAAATTTTAGAATAAAAGTTTAGAACAAAATTTTAAAACGTCGGTGTTTTATTTTTTTAATTATGTATTATTATAATTTATACAATAAATTATTTTTATGCTTTTTAAATGCGTTTTTTATTTTTTAAAATATATTATTATAATTTATAAATTATGATTATATATATATATATAATTATGATTAGATAAGACACAAACCAACAATTTTTATTCTTACAACTTGTTCCATATCCGACTCTAAAGTCTCGAAATCAAGAGTACAAAATAGAGCTGGAGATGAACTTACCTTGATTTCCAGCTTGATCATCCGAATTTGACAAAGAAATGAGTTTTTCCTCTCTTTCTCTCTCTCAAAACGGGAAACCAGATAGGATAAGAAGAGATAATGATCGGGTAAGTAATCTTGATAAGGTTGTGAAGATATTTTGGCAAAGTTTGTTTTGGTCCCTCAAGTTTTAGCTTGTTTTTATTCTAGTCCCCCAACTTATATTACATTCAATTGAGCCCCTATTTCTTTCTATTATTCAAAATACTTATTATCCAATACCCCACTAACATGTCATATGCAGGTATAATTATATGCGTGTATGCATGAACAATGTATGTTTTTGGGATGCGGTTACTACATATATATATATATATATATATATATATATATATATATATACATATATACATATATATATATATATATATATATATATATATATATATATATATATATATATATATATATAGAGAGAGAGAGAGAGAGAGAGAGAGAGAGAGAGAGAGAGAGAGAGAGAGATATGAGAGTACGTTTTAGATGGTTTGACTTAATTTTTTTAAAAAAAACATTTATAATCAATTAAAAAAATTCATAAGTTTCATTTGCTATTTTATATATATTTATTCAGAATTTATCAGAATCAATTTTATTATTATTTTTATTTTAATCTATTAACTTCAATATATTTTATACAATTTAGCGAGCTTGGCCTTTTTTTCTTTTTTTGTTATTTTCTTCATATATATATGAAATTAGGTGTGAAAAATTTAGAAAATAAATCATTATTTTTTTTAGTTTTACGTATAGTTTGAATATGATAAAATACATATGATATTTTTTAAGATTTTAGTTTGAACATATATTTATGATTATATTACTCTTATTGTTTAAATTTTATTTTTTCAATTATTTTTTTCTTATTAAAATTCTCATCAAATTAATTTTTTGATATAATTTTATTTTTTAATAAATTTTGATTATGTGTGTGTGTGTGTGTGTGTGTGTAGAGAGAAAGAGAGAGATAAAAGTATGTTTTAGATAGTTTGGCTCAACTTTTTTAAAAAAAAATCACAAGTTTTTCTTTATGTTTTGATATATATTTATTTAGAATTTATCATAACCAATTTTGTTGTAGTTTTTATTTTAGTGTATTTACTTCAATATATTTCATACAATTTTGGTGGTTTTTTTTGTAAATTTTTCTATTTATTCTATATACTATGAATCGTTAAGTATGATATATATATATATATATATATATATATATATATATATATATATATATATATATATATATATATGTGTTTGTGTGTGTGTGTGTGTGTGTGTTTATCATTAGTTTTATTGAAAATTAACTATATATCTACACACATAATCCTAATTATTTATTATTTATTTTTTCTTATTCTAAAATTTGTTTTTTTTAAATAAAATAAGTTAGATAATGTTTCAAAAAAACCTTCCAATTATTCAAATTCAATTTTTTATGCTATTATTATTAAATATTTTGTTATATATATATATATATATATATATATCAAATGATTTCACTCAATAGATAGATTTGATTTACATTAATCACTAGAAATAAAACTTCTACTCGCACTATATCATACGAATCGTTAACGCTACGTATGTAACGGTTGTTTGACCACGAGTGTAGTGCGGTATCTAACTAGTAAGACTAAAAGAAATGCAAGTAGCATGTCATCTATACCTAGTTAAGTAACTAGTATAGTATCCATATATTACCTCGAGTAAGTCTAGTCTATAATATATTTTAATATTTTAAATAATTCAAAACTTTA